GTAAGCCTTCACCTGAAGTACAATAAAAAAAATATATATATATATATAGACTCTCAGGCCCCACCTCAGACCTAGGATATCAGAATCTGCATTTTAATAATATCACCAGGTGGTCTGTATGCACATTAAAGTTTCAGAAGTACTAAGCTAGGTGGTCCTGAGTCCCTGTAGGTCCTTCCAAACTTATTTGAGCCCAGAACTGAGTGGCACATGGTTTAGTGCTCAATAAATATTAGCTGTTATTTTATCCGGTTAATCTTCCCAAAGTTCTCCTTTGAAGAAAGTATATTAGAAAAAGCACTTTTCCTGGAAACCAGGAGCCCAAGATTCCCCTCCAAGTTCTTCCACTGATTATGTGATCTTGACCAAGTCCCTTCATCCCGATCTTAGTTCTTGATCCATAAAAGCAAGGGAGTTGGACTATGTAACTCTAAGGCTCCTTGTAATCCTAATGTTCTCTAACCCACTGATTCCACTTTGCAATAATAACTAACTTCATATTTTCCCTCTTTCTTCCTAATGCCACTGATATATAGATGTCTACGTGGGAAGAAAATTTCCCAGATTCAAATATTCCTAAGAACCTTTTCTCCTCCTTTTTTCTTTTCTTCCAAGGTACAGTTACCTCTCTCCATGTCCCTACTTCCCCTAGGGTACCCCACCCCCCTTCCTGGCACTCACTCTTTCTTCTCTGCTGGATCTTTTTCATATATTTGAAGGTGAGATCCTGCCAGTCTTCTAGTGCTCTCTGGTCCTTACTGCTACTATAACTGGCCACCTGTGGCATTGGGAAAGGCAAAATATGTATCTCCTTTTGTAAAAAGAACTGGATTTGGCCCCAGTGGCTTTCCATGAGCTTTTACAGGGAAAGAGGTGGGACACAGTCTTCCTAGAGCAAGCCAGCACATTCTCAGGATGCCTGGCCATTGGCCAAAGTATCCAGAGCTCAAGCAGTGTTTGCTCTCTTCCTTATTTTAACAAATATGAAAAAAACAAAACAGTTTCTTTATAGACCAGTGGTCTCAGTCCATGTCCCGGCTACCTTTGGAGCTTCCTGCTTTCAGGTGGACAGGTACAGGAAGAAGGAAAACCCAGGTGCTTTTGAGAATCTGCTGGTCCATATCATTCCCATCCCGCTACATCCCCAATTCCCAAAATGAGAATAAAAGTGACTACTTGGCCTTTGATAACCATCACATTTTGTTGATCTTCAATTTCCCAGGGGACTTTCAAAATGACGAAGAGCCACAGGAATATGATGCTCACTGAGGTTATGAAGCAGTGCCTGGTGGAATACCGCATGGTATCTGGATCGGGATATGGATCCTATAGCAAAAAGTCAACAGCTGGAGGACTTTCTCTATCCCTTTTATGCCTAGAGCTTCCTTTCTGTCCTCTGGAAGCCCCCCAAATATTCTATGCTTCCTCATCATCATTGTTAACTTATTTCCCAAGCCTTCCAATCTTTTTCTGAGCTGCAAACCTATGGAAAATAGACTTATTCTCTTCCTAAATAAGTAAGGTGTCCTGTGGTGACCTTTGCCGTCTTCACTTTATTGGTATTCATTTGGAGATTAAGCTTTCCAAAAGTTTCCCTGACTCAAAATGATGAGGGTCCACTGAGGCTTTATTGATGTGTCTAGTTCATCTGAGAAAACAGATAAACACGTTTTTTTCCTCCACCACCTTTAAACAAAAATCAACCCATTTATTAATATAGCTGAACTTGAAATGTGGCTAAGTGCTATGCTACTTGGTGCCTTTCTTACTTTTATGTAAAGGATATCCTTAGTTTATTCCAATATTTAATCTTATTCACAGACCTTGATTATAATTCTGTTAACTGAGAGTGAAAAATCCTTTCATCAATTTTGGGTTATTGGAAATCAGGCTGGTTCAGCATCAAACGTGCTTGAATGCTGCTCTCGTCCTCTGTTCTTGTCTTTTCTCTAGTGAAAATGTGTTTCTTTGACTCTAGATTTTTCAGAGGGAAGGCTTTAACATGCCTGGTCACCCACTCTTGATTCCTTCCCTGCAGTACATAAAAGAAAAGAAATTGTTGTCAGTAGTTTCTGTGCTCCTGAGGCCAATAGTATCCTCTAATCTCCCCCATTTCCAAGGATCCCTGCTGATTTAGTATTTTAGTAGAGCTTAACAGACTTCTCTTCCTTTCACACTTCGCTTTTTTTTTTTCTTTTTCTTTCTTTTTTATTGTGGTGAAAATATACACACCAAAACATTTGCCAGCGCAACTTCCACATTTACATTTCTATGACATTGATTCCATTTTTCTTGTTGTGCCATTACTGCCACTATCCTTTTCCAAAATATTCCATCACTATGTAGTAGAGATGCAAGTTTATTAACAAACTCAATGCCCTCCAAACAAAACTCCCCCTTCTGGCCTCCCTCCTACTCCTGGTAACCATTAATAATCTTTGGTTTGTATCTATTTGCTTATTTCATGTAAGTAGAATATACAGTATTTGTCCTTTCACAACTGACTTATTTCACTTAGCATAATATTTCCAGGTTCATCCATGGTGTGGTCCCACTTAGCTTTTTGATAAGAATTGTAAAAATAAAATATATGGTAAAAATGTTTTACAGATTAAACTTTGCTTACCTGGTTTCTTTAGGCAAAGGCTTTTCAGTCACATAGGTGGTTTAGAGACAAACTATGTAAGAGAAATAGACTTCTCTATAACATAAACACACGGATACATATACTGAATAAAAAGGCTTTACAATTGCAGTTGAAAGAATTCCATCGCCAGAAGCACAGCTCTGCTCCCCTTTTTCACCTCATCTGTAGTTTACCAGTCACATTAGGACGACTGCCCTCATTCAGCCCTCAGTGTTTGACAGGCTTCTGGAAGAGGCAGGAGAGAGACAGAATAAGAGGAGCTGAGGTGATGAGACTCAATCACTCTTGGAGTAATGAACAAAGAGGGTGAGGCCTGGGAAAGCACACTGAGGTCTCTCCAGTTTTCTGCCCTTGAGCTAAACTCCCTCTGTGATGTTACTCTTGTGTCCCACCCACCTACTGCCCTATCACCAGAGGTCCACATGGACAGGACTTGCATGTGATAGGTACATGCTTAACAATTGGTAGCTAGTTCTTGGGTGGCAAAAATGGTCTGGGCTCAGCTGGTAACCAGAAGTTTGGTGGTTTGCACCCACCCAGTAGCACTGCAGAAGAAAGACCTGGCGATCGGCTTCCACAAAGATTACACCAAGAAAACCCTATGGAGCTCAGTTCTACCCTGTAACACATGGGGTCACTATGAGTCACAATCAACTTGACAGCAACAGGTTTGTTTTTTTCTTCTTATTCGTCCTATAGACCAGCATCAATGTCTTTTAAGAGTAAATAGATACCAAGAACTATCAAACCTCTCACGACTATGTCCTCCACTTCCTTGCATGTCTACTACATTCTCTCCTTTCTTCCAGTTCCACTGACATTTACCTCTGACTCCCATTCCCCCTAACCTTCTCAAGTTCTTCACTCCTGCCATTACCCTGTTTCCCTTCAGCATATCCATTTCTCCTCTCTGTTGGACCAACCCTAACACTATGTAAAGGAGCTCTGGTATCTCCCAGTGATGGAGGGGTGGCGGGGGGTAGGGGCAAAAACAAAATCCCTCCCTGAATTCATGTTCTCTGCAACTTCTGGCCTATTCCTCTGCAACCCGAATAGCAAAACTCCTTGAAAGTGTTGTCTTCAATAATTACCTCTACTTCTTCATTTCATATTCTCCTTGTCTTAACGTTTGCAGCTTTTGACGCGGTTGACCACTGCCGCCTCCTTGAACCACGCTCTTCCTGACATCACTCTTGCTGCACTGACCATTTCTTCTCAGTTTCCTTTCCTGGCTCATTCTGTTCCCAACCTGTAAGTGTAGGCATATCACAGGGCTCTGTCCTTGGCCCCCTTTTCTTCACTTCCTACATAGTCTCCTGGGTAATCTTACCCAGGCCCATGGCTGTGTATATGTAGTGCTAACTCCCAAATCTTATCTCCAGCCCTATCCTGATCTCTGTCCTGAGCTCCAAACTCCCTGAGTGTTCAACATCTTTTTAGATGAATATAAGGAATTTCAACTTT